GGGGGGGGGGGAGTTCCCTGAGGGGAGCCGGGTGGGTGCCCTCCCCTCAGGCTGTCCCAGCGCCACAGCTCCTGGTCTCCTACCTGGGAGCTACAAGTTTGTGGACTAAATATATTACTTATTCCCCTTTGTAAAGAGTTGTGCTACGGGGGTAGAGCGTTATGAAGCAGAGAGACGGCGCCTGGAATATGGAGACACCCATTATTACCACATTCCCCTGCAACGCAGGGTTCTTTAAGGTTACCTCACTGTCACGGGAGCACCCTAAATTCTCTCACTATTTTTTTTTTCCCTCTCTTCTGTTTGTTTGTTGTTGGTTTTTTTTTTTGCCCACATGTAGAAGAATCCTTATTGACACCGGGGAGCCAGCCATTCCTGAATACATTGGCTGTTTGAAGCAGGCGCTCTCAGAGTTCAACGTCTCGATTCAAGAAATCCTCGTGACGCACTGGCATCGGGATCACACCGGGGGAATACCCGATATCTGCAAAAACATCCCTGCTGGTAGGCCCGAGATTTCTGATATTGTTGAAAATGTTACATACTCAGCAAGAAAAAAAAAAACAACAAACCTTTTCCTGAGTGCTTCTGTGCAAAGCACTTGGGAAATTGTTCTGGAGTCTCTGAAACTACGTGTAATTTCATTACACTGTTTCAGTGTCTAGAATGGGAGCAGTGAATGATTTGAATATTGTAGTACTACAGTTTTTCATCAATACCTGTGTATGCCTTCGTAGTGAATTTTTCTTATGTGTGAATAATGCAAATGTGCATTACCATCAGCAGTTTACATCATATTAAGAGCTGTGAGAAAAACTTGGTAGTCTTTGTAAAAGAAAGTAAACTTTGATACTCCTTTCTACATTCATAGTAATGACAAGCTGACCATTGTTTTCGCTTGCATGAAAACAGTAAATAACTTAGTCTCTGAAAAAGAAACTTGCATAACTTTGAGATTCCTTACAGCAGGCCATTAGTAATTGCTGACAAATTCATAGGCCTCAGATCATGAGGGGGAAGAGGGCAGGGGAGCCTGCAGGCGAATCCTGATGTAAAAATGTGTATTTCATGTTGATAAACAGTAGGAGACATTTCTGCTTTAGTGTCTGGGAAGAGAATAAGCGGTATGCATCGTACAGTTCTGAGCATCATTGGACTTTGTCACAAGTTTGTCACAGGCTTTATCAGATTTTGTGAAGTTGCCAGGGGCTTGTTTGCAGAGAAGCCAGGGCGCTACTGAAAACACTGGTGTCGTCGTGAGGATTTTGGTTTTGCCAACTCATGAGCATGGTTGTAAAGACTGGCAAGGGATATAAGTATCTTTCTGGGTTGCTCTCCATAGCTGTTCCAGCCCCTCACAGTTCATGCTCAGTTCAGAACGATAGACGCTGAGGGTCAAAAAACCTCCACCCAGAGTTAGGCAAATGTTGAATGGTGCTTCTGTGAATCATAATACAGAACACGAGCACAGAAGTGTTAGTGGTGGCATTGAAACTTGGGGTTTTGGCTCTTGATGAGTCAAGAAGGGACCTTTGTAATGTATCATAATTAGTGACACATCTTTTTTTAGTTTCACTTGTGCTTTTTCATCTTCAAAATTGCTGCTGGTACAGAGTACAGTGTTCACATTGAGTGGCTTTCATAGAATCACAGAATCTTCATGGTTGGAAGGGACCTTTGAGATCATCGAGTCCAACCACAAAAACCGAACAAAAAAAAAAAAAAAAAAAAAAAACCCAGGCACTAGAGCATGCCCTGAAGTGCCATGTCTACACGTTGCTTAAATACCTCCAGGGATGGTGACTCCACCACCTCCCTGGGAAGGCTCTTCCAGTGTTCGCTAGTTAGTGCTTGTGGCTCTGGAATTAAGATTGCTTTATAAAGTTGAAGTTACTATACAAAATTTCTTCTTTCTTGTTTTGTATTCACACTGTGTAATAATTAATAGTACTTGTTCAAAAAGTAGCCTTTCTGTGGAATTAGCTTCATTAGTGACAAATTCACAACATCGTTTTCTTTGCTGTTTTTAAATAGACTCTGAATATCGCATCTGTAAGCTTCCTCGAGTGCCTGACCGTGAGGAAACAATAGAAGGAGGACAGAAATATTTTTATCTTAAAGACGGAGATGTGGTACAGACAGAGGGAGCCACGCTCAGGTAAAGACCAATTATTTACTTTAAAAATATTTCCCAAAGAGACACTAAAACATTTCATACTTAAAATGTTAAATTTTAAGCCTTTAACCTGTCAGGTTCTTGTAGGGTGCCAGTTTGGGAGGGCTTCTTGCCAGAAAGCCTCTCTGCCTCACACAAACACACAATAAAAAGATTTGACCATTCTGTTTCCAGAGGTCTTTCATTAACAAGGCATTATCCTTCTAAGGGCAGATTTTGCTCATTTTCCTCAGTTTAGGTGCGAATTATATCTCACTTGTAGAATATGCCAGCTGGCTGATTGGAAGAAAAAAAAGTAAACATAAAGGATATATTTGACCAAAAGCATTTTACTTTGTTAGTGTAAAAAGAGAAAACACACGAGCATGATGTTGAACATTGAAGACCTATCCCTACCTAAGTGTTTGGACAAAATCAGTTTAGAGACAGAAAACAACTTGTTAAATTTGAATTCGAGTAAGACGGGGTGGCACGTTTTGAAGTTTGGGGTAATGCAGCCAGACTTTATGCTTTGTTAAAAGCAGGTATTCTCAGCTGGTTAATTCAGTAAGCGCTTTAAGAATACTCCTAGATCCACCACAGGTTCTGAAATAGCAGTATCTGCATGTTAAGTTTTGGTTAGCAACCTTCAAATTTTCAGGGTGTGCCAGGCAGCGTTGGGTTCTTTTTCCTTTGTTTTTCCACGTCAGTGGTTAAGCTCCTGCTGAAGTTTTGTCAGGAACTGGAGGATGCCACTTCCCACAAGCGTAAGATGCAACCCATCGGCTTGATTTCTGTGTTGCCTCCACAAGGGTGATGGCTCCACCTGCTTTCTGCTGAGCTGGGTGTTCAGTAAGAGCTGGAAGTTGTTGCATCAGAGGGTGCTGAGCTCCTGACCTCCCACCCCCGGGTGCCCTTTGGCATTGGTCTGTCTGTACACCACACTTGGCATCAGCTCTGTCAGGACCTTATCGCTGCCTTGGGGCATCTGCCATTAAGAAGAAGATTCTGTTGAATTTCAGCCGTGGTGTTGGTCTGAGTTGTGTATTTTCAGTTTGAATCACCCATTCACCCTTTGCTGCATTCTAACGCAGTGCTTGATCAAGGTGTGGGCTCCTAAATCCTTGCCATTCACAGAGTCACATGGGGTTGGGGGGGACCTCTGGAGAACACCCAATCCAACCCCCTGCCAGAGCAGGTCCACCTGGAGCAGGTTGCACAGGAACGTGTCCAGGTGTGTTTGAATGTCTCCAGAGAAGGAGACTCCACCACTTCTCTGGGCAGCCTCTTCCAGGGCTCTGCCACCCTCACAGGAAAGAAGTTCCTCCTCGTGTTTAGGTGGAACTTCTTATGTACAAGTTTGTGCCCATTTCTTCTTGTCCTGTGACTGGGCACCAAATTCAGCTGGTTAATGACCTACACATAGAACAGCTAAAAGAACCACGATTCCTTGTATTTGACAGCTCCACCCCGCTTGTGTCATGAGGCTTTCAGGGGAAAATAAATTTTGGGAGATAGAACTTTATCTAGCTTGCGTCTAGAAGTTTATAGTTAAATTCTAGAAGAATTGCCAACATCATTCTTACCCTCTTTTGCTAAGTGCACGGTGTATGTCAAGAACTTCACACATTTCTACCTGCAAATAATGTGTTGATTATTTTTTTTCAAGCTTCAGAGTAAAGCCCCCTATAAGACTAATTCTACATGACTAGGCAGCTCCTCAATGTGCTTTTATTATGTGTGTATACATCATGGAAGTAAAAGCATGTTAGAGATGATGATCCGTGTTCTCTACTTTGTATAAAAAAATAGACTGGGATTATACGAAGCAATGCTCCGTTTACATTGACATTTAAGACTTTTTGGGTCTATTTTTTTCTGGGTTTTGTTATGGGCTACTTTTAAGTGTATGGTTTTCTGATTTATTTTTTTTCTAGTTTCTGAAAATGAAGCGTATATGGCGTGTGAAAACTTTGGCTTTTTTGTTCTTGTTCTTTAAACAGAGTTCTATATACTCCTGGACACACTGATGATCATATGATTTTACATCTGGAAGAAGAAAATGCTGTATTTTCCGGTGACTGTATTTTAGGGGAAGGAACGACAGTAATTGAAGACCTGTATGATTACATGAAAACTTTGAAAAGATTGTTAGAAATGAAACCAGATTTAATATATCCAGGTTAGTGGTTCTATTTTTAACTGTTTTGTCTTACTCTATGACTTCTAAATACCTTCTCTGAGAATTTGAGATCTCTTACTCCAATCAATCAGCATTACTAATGTAACAATTCACGTTCATGACTTAATATATACCCCGGGCTAAGCTAAAATGACTTTAGGACATAGTGGTTTGCAAGACTTGAACATTTTTCAGTGATAGATACCTTTCCTTCCGGAGATTTCTCCATTTGAGGGTGAATCTTGTGCTTTGGTGCTTAAACCCCACAGAGGCCAGAATCTTTCGCTGTTGGAATCACACAGTAAATGTGGTTTTCTTCTATTTTTCTATCCATGTGCCTTAATGTTACTCTGCAAGAAAAAATAATAGTTGTTCTTTTGGTCCTTTGCATCACCACACGCACTGTCGATGTGAGTGACCTGGGAATGTTTTTCTGAGAGAGATGTGTGTCCTTTGCAGCACAGATTAGTCATAAATTCATCTTGGAAAGCTACAGAAGTGTCAAATGGTTGTCTTAGTTAATGCCTTAACTTAAACGGGAACAAGAGCCAAGAGGCCAAACGTCATGTTCTAAAAATAAGTTGCCGATTCATTCAGTCTATGACTTTGCTTTAATTTTTTTTCTTTTGTCACCCCCCAAACCTTGGGAATGCATTTAGTTTTCACATAAACCACTTGTCTGTTTGACAAGACCAGATTTTAAGAATTCATTAGGTAACTAGAGTTTAAGCTCTGCGTGCTTTTTCAGAGCTACATCTTAGGATTTTTTTTTCTGACTTTTTCTGTTTCATCTTCTTGAGCCTGTCATTCTGAGCAACTGTCTACATTCTCATTTCTGTCTTCCTCCAATAACCATCTATGTTTAGCCTACATAACCAAATCTCTTTTGTGTTCATTCTTAAAATATCTTCTTTTGAAGTAGGTGTTCTTTAAGTCCTTTAAGATCTCAGCATAAAAATGCTATTTAAGAAAAATATCACTATAAATATTCCATGGATACGGAGGCTGACATAGACAGAAATAGTTGTAGACTTAACTACTGATAAAACAAAGAATGTTTCAGCCTCCAGAATCTCAATTTATTGATCAATTGAATCTTCTGCTTTCCTTCTTAAATGCCTGCAAAACACAGTCTGTTCTTCTACTGGAATTTCTGTCTTCCAGAGCCCCATATGTGCCCAATTCTACTGGGTTTCTCAGTTTTACTTCTTGTTTTTCACTCTCTCCTTAATCATTATTTATCTAGATTATGCATTCACAGAGGTTGGATGTTTGTCCCATTCATCTGTAACTTTGCCACACTGGGAAAGTGTAGGGTGCTGCATCTGGGGAGGAATAACCCCCTGTATCAGGACAGGTTGGGAGTGACCTACTGGAGAGCAGCTCTGAGGAGAAACACCTGGGAGTCCTGGTGGACAACAGGATGACCATGAGCCAGCAATAGGCCCTTGTGGCCAAGAAGGCCAATGGCATCCTGGGGGGCATCAGGAAGAGTGGGACCAGCAGGTGGAGGGAGGTCATCCTGCCCCTCTGCTCTGCCCTGGGGAGGCCCCATCTGGAGCACTGGGTCCAGTTCTGGGCTCCCCAGTTCCAGAAGGACAGGGAACTGCTGGAGAGGGGACAGCAGAGGCTACAGAGATGATGAGGGGCCTGGAGCATCTCTCTGATGAGGAGAGGCTGAGGGACTTGGGTCTTTTTAGTCTGGAGAAAAGAAGGCTGAGGGGGATGTGATCAACACCTATAAATACTGAAAGGGTGGGTGTCAGGAGGATGGGGCCAGGCTTTTCTCAGTGGTGCCCAGGGACAGGACAAGAGGGAACACACACAAACTGAAACAGAGGAAGTTCCACCTAAACTTGAGGAGGAACTTCTTTGCTGTGAGGGTGGCAGAGCCCTGGCAGAGGCTGCCCAGAGAGGTGGTGGAGTCTCCTTCTCTGGAGACATTCAAACCCACCTGGACACGTTCCTGTGGGACCTGCTCTGGGTGGACCTGCTCTGGCAGGGGGTTGGACTGGGTGATCTCCAGAGGTCCCTTCCCACCCCATAGCATTCTGTGATTCTGTTGTAAGTATGTTTAGGCTGTATTTACAATTAGGAAGCCAGTCAGGTATTCCACATATCAGTGATGAGTAGCTGAGTATTGAGATGGTTTGAAACTAACTTTGTTTTTTTAATCCATGGATCACAAAATGTGTGTACAAATCACAAAATCACAGTTTTAAGTCTTCATAATTCTTGAACTGTTTCTCTCTTCCCCATGCACGTTTTAGCACTCACGTTGCAGCAACAGAATTAGAAGTAGAGGAGCATGATTTTTTGTCACAAGCTGACTGCTGGCTAGGTGTGAGTCACTGAATTTTGCCAGTCTTTGCCCTTCTTTGTTACTTTTTTAATTTAACATGGAAATGCCTTCTGGCCGAATATTTTTGACAGTCCATTTATAGCCAATAGCTGAAGAGAATCCTTGGAACCAGAAAAGAGCAGTTTAGTCAGTAGAGGGCTCTCTATCCTCTAATAATAAACAGTGATCCTTGAAAATACAGAAATAAATGGGACTGGAGTTAGGAATCTTTGCAAGATTTCGTAGGCCAGTTATTTTCTTCAGTTTTCTCTTCTGTGCTTTAATTTACTGTAAAGGGAGAGAATCTCTATTACTTCACCAGGTGTTTGGAGAATAAGAACTTTCTGATCATCTGGCCTGTACAGAGGTGTGAAATAACACAAATCTGTCTGATGTAAAGTCTGAACTATTGGAAAGATGGTCATATTTTGAGAGATCTATTTCACGTGCTCAAAAACATTTTACGTTTACGTGATACTGATTTACTTATTGGGGAAGTTCACTGTCTTGCTGTCCCTGAAAAATGATGGATGGGGAAAGATCCGCATCTAGATTTAGTTCCAAGCTTTCTGACATCATTTTAATGTATGTATATATGTATACACAATGGCTATGGATCAGATGATGTAATGGGTACGAAATATCTTTAATTTTGCAAAACATGGGGTCCATTCCAGGTGCTGACATCGGTCTTGTACGTTAAGTCAATTAAATCACTTAGAAGAGCAGGGACTGGTTTTAAGGCTGCCTTGTGATTCCATGTGCAGGCCTTAATTTTGGGTTCTTTCATGTGACTTCTGTCATTAGAGAATGCATGAGAATGGTTCGTTACCATTATAGACTCTGCTCTGTATATCTTAATGTTTTTTTTCTAAATTTAAGCTTTTGTTTTTAAATGGTAACATGTTGATTAGAAATACTGTTGAATGCACGAGAATCGATCGTTACCATTATAGTCTCTGCTCTGTATATCTTAATGGCTTTTTCTAAATTTAAGCTTTTGTTTGTAAATGGTAACATGTTGATTAGAAATACTGTTATATTTGTAATTTATTTTGTAAGGAACAGTAGCTTCAGATGAAATACATCTTAAATCATTAAATATATGTGCACATGAGAGTACAGTTTTATACTTACATGTTGCATATCTTTATATTATCTCTACACAAGGTAAGCTTCAGGGTCTATTTAGTAATTTTCAAATCTGCTGAAGTGAGTGTATAAGATGATTTGCATAAATATTTTGACTACATGAAGGATGGACTCCTTTGACAATTTTTTATTCCATAGATATTCAAAACATGAAAAAGCAGTTGCTCTATTTCTACAAGCATATATATATATATGTGTAATGCTTTTCAATTGCAGACTGTGGTGCAGACATTTGTACTTAATTTTGTCCCATTTATATGAAAAAAAGAGGGGAAAAAAAAAAGAAAAAAAAACCAAAACCATACAAATATCTTGCAATTTAACATCAGGGGTGCTCTGACAGAGTGGTACCTACAGATGCTGCTCCCTTATGACTTTTAAGTCGCCCAGAGCTCACACAAGATTGATTCAGTTACTCAGTAGCATACTTAATTCCAAATTTAAGTAACATCCCTCTGGTACCTGTGTTTTGATTTAGGTCATGGCCCAGTAGTTCGTGATGCAAATGCCAGAATCCAGAGCTACATTTCTCACCGAAACGCACGTGAGCAGCAAATTCTAAATGTTTTCCAGAAGAATGCTGGAAAATCATATACGTCCTCGGAGCTTGTAAAGATAGTCTACCAGGTAATTGCTGATTAAAAGTTTTTTAGATCAAACTAAAGAAAATTGAGGTTGTGTTCATAAAATTTATCTTACAGTTCAAGTATTTGAGTGATGACCGTGGTGGCTTTTTACAAGAGGGAAAAAAAAAAAGGAAAATATTTCTGCTTGTTCAGAATTCATATATGACTGTGCATTTAAATTATATTGTTTGAGAGCTTCACTGGAGTGGGGCCCAAATGATTCTTACAAACTTCTTGTTTCAATATCTACGTGGTCCTTAAAAACAGTTTCCTAGTATCAAGTAAAAATTAAAGTTGTTTTGTCTTCCTGAAGCTGTTATATTTTTTAAATTGTATACTCATTTACAGATACCGATCGTTAAAGGATATTTAAATCCCTGCTAATATTGTCATGGAATAGAAGGGATAGGTATCTGTAGAGAAATGTGTCTTTAAATTTGTCTTTAAAAATGTTCTACTGGGCTGACAACCCAGTGCAGACCAAGCTCAGAAGGGCACAGTCTTGTTAGTGTTGGCCAAAGTTTGCGTAATACAAATGGAGAATGCAAGAAAAATGAGGAAAGTAAACAAAAAATGTGGTTTTAGACTACTAGTTTAACTGGTGCAAAATTGATTTACTCATTTCAGTTTGTCATTATATGTAACGAACTGAATGTTCAACTTAGCAATTGAGAAGAGGAAAATCTATGTTAATAAACCCTGAGTTCCTTATTGACAAAATAATTGGGAGATATTTAAACAAAATGCATATTTATGTTCCCATTAGGAGATCCCTGAAAATTTACTTCTAGCAGCAGAAAGTAACCTCCTAGTCCACTTGAAGAAGTTGGAAAAAGAAGGAAAAGTGTGTAAGTTGTGGATGGAGGGGTGGATGGAGGGTCATTCATTTTGATTTTTTATATACTGTTTCTCATTGCATTTTGCTGCATTATTTCCAGGGGGAAAAATACCTGAAATTAGTTGCAGCAGCTGCCCTTCAGCCAACTTGAAATACAATTATATACAAAAAGCTTGTGGTTATACAGTATTTCCAAACTCTTAGAGAGTCTTTTATAAAGTATTTGTGATGTGCTTAGAGCACAGATTACTGCAAGGCATATACCTTTACATTTTTATTAAAATAAATTTTATTTTATTAAAACATGCCATGGAATAAATAGAATCATTGAATTGCCTGGGTTGGAAGGGACCTTTCAGATCATGGAGTCCAACCATCAACCCAACACTGACACCAAACCCATCACTAACCCATGTCTCTAAGCACTATGGCTGCCCAGCTTTTACATGCCTC